ATTAAAATGTGGAGACCCAACCTATCCCCTCAAGGGTCTCTCAGTCTCAAATCACACCTTTAATTATTCTCTTCCTGCATCTCTAAACACAGAACACAAACTTCCCAGTACTGATAATTTAGAAAGAATACTGAATTGGGGAGTCAGGAAACCTGTAAAATCATCACTGGCATAGCTTACACCCATGCTTCACGGATAATCACTTGCTCTTTACTGTCTTCTCTTTTTGCTCCTCTTCCTCTTACCTATCTATACATATATTCTATTTTTTTCAAAAATACAGAAGGATACAAATTAGTCAGTAATTCAGTCATGCAAATACCTAAAAATACCTGTTCCTGTACCCTCAGGAAGCATTAAAGTAACAAATTAAATTAAATTAAATCAGCCTGTTTTACTATTTGCCCAGCGTAAGTCATTCTTCTGGGAAAGTGAGAAACTAGTTAATTGCTGTTTTAAGGTTTTAGTCACTCTCTAATATATTTACTGTTTAAACAGAGAACAGCAGAGGATTAGGCAACACTGTCTAGTTTTGGTGAGTTTAAGAGGTTCTAAAGTAAAATGGTAGAAACTTAAATAAGCCACAGACAACACAATATTGAGCTCAAGCAGGCATTTAATACAGTATTTATTAACTGCATCCCAGCATGGAATGTAAAAAACAGGTAAAAGTTTTCCTGTTATAAAAATCTCAATACTATGGTTGACTAATCTGTCTCTGCAGAAGAAAAGGGCTCTTCCTTCAGTAAGAAAGACAGAGATAGGCTAATTCATTGCAACACAGACACCCTAAACACAGCTAGTCACCAAATCCTGACATTCTCATTCCATGAAAACTCTTGTATTTTTCCATTATAAATTTCCCCTTTTCCATTCTCCCAGGAGAGGCAGTACACTGTAGTAAGTCAGAGCGTAAACTTGAGTCCTGCTGGCAGTGTTCAAATCCTGCCTCTACTGCTTAACAGCTGTGTGATATTATCTGACTTCTCTGTGTCACAGTTTCCCTATTTGTAAAATACGGGTAATAGCAATAATTGCCTCATAGGGTTGTTATGCGCATTTAATTAAGTCCATACACATTGTGTTTACAACAGCCACTGCTATCAGTCATCAATGTCATTACCACCATTATTACTTCTGCTGCCAATCTCCTTGACCAGGGATACTCAGTGTACCCCACACTATGTTCTCCTTTGCCCCCTTTTATCTAATTGTCTACAGAATGAACTTTTGTGGTGTTAACTTTTCTAGTGTCTATAATTACACAGTGAACTCTAAGGACAGGAACTTGGCTCTACATCTTTGTTACCCAAAGTACGCAGCCTAGTAATGCAATATGATGTTACATCATGCCGCCCACTCTGCCATGTACTATACTGAACTCCATTATTTTGACAAATCGGACCCACTGGTAATGTCACATATTTAAACACATATGCTCTTTCTTCTGCCTGAAATGCTTTCTCTTCCCACTGTCTACTTTTATAACTTGGAAAATTATTCGTCTTCCTTCAGAATATAGCTTATTTCTCTACATTGTTTATCTCTCTACATTGATATAGACCAAACACTGATATATAGACAGATTCTGACCCATGAAGTCATTTCTTTCTTTTTTTAAAATACATTTTATTAATTATGCCATTACAGTTGTCCCATTCCCCCCTTCATTCCCTTTCACCCTGCACAGCCCCCTCCCACCATTCCCCCCTTTAGTTTATGTCCATGTGTCACAAGTTCTTTAGATTCTATATTTCCCATATTATTCTTGCCCTCCCCCTGTCTATTTTCCACCTACTGTCTATGCTACTTATTTTCTGTACCTTCTCCCCCCTTCTCCTTCTCCCACTTCCCTGTTGCTAACCCTTCATATGATATTCATTTCTGTGGTTCTGCTCCTGATCTAGCTGTCCTTTTAGTTTGCTTTTGTTTTAGGTGTGGTTGTTAATAACTGTGAGTTTGTTGTCCTTTCACTGTTCATATTTTAATCTTATTTTTCCTGGATAAGTCCCTTTAACATTTCATACAATAAGGGCTTGGTGATGATGAATTCCTTGAACTTGATCTTATCTGAGAAGCACTTTATCTGCCCTTCCATTCTAAATGATAGCTTTGCCGGATAGAGCAATCTTGGATGTAGGTCTTTGGATTTCATGACTTGGAATACTTCTTTCCAGCCCCTTCTTGCCTGCAAGGTCTATTTTGAGAAATTAGCTGACAGTCTGATGGGAACTCCTTTGTAGGTGACTGTCCCTTTATGTCTTGCTGCTTCTAGGATTCTCTCCTTCATTTTAATTTTGGCTAATGTAATTACAATGTGTGTTGGAACAGTGTTTCTCCTTGGGTCCACCTTCTTTGGGACTCTGAGCTTCCTGAACTTTCTGCAAGTCTATTTCCTTTGCCAGATTGGGGAAGTTCTCCTTTATTATTTGATTAAATAACTTTTCCACTTGTCCTTCCTCTTCCCCTTCTGGTACCACTATAATTCAGATGCTGAAATGTTTAAAGATGTCCTGGAGGTTCCCAAGCCTCTCCTCATTTTTTTGAATTCTTGTTCCTTCATTCTTTTTTGTTTGGTTGTTGCTTTCTTCCTTCTAGTCCATTCCATTCATTTGAGTCCCAGTTTTCTTCCCATCACTATTGGTTCCCTGTGCATTTTCCTTCATTTCACTTAGTGTGGCCTTCAGTTTTTCATCTAATTTGTGATCAAAATCAACCAGTTCTGTGAGCATCCTGATCACTAGTGCTTTAAACTGTGCATGTGATAGGTTGGCTATCTCTTGGTTGCTTAAAAGTATTGGCTCTGGGGCTTTGATTTGTTCTTCTGTTTGAGCCACAATTTTTTGGTCTGGTCATGCCTGTTACATATGAGGGGCAGAGCCTTAGGTGTTCACCAGGAGGGGCAACCCAGTAGTTGGGTTGTGATGCTGTATGTGGGGGCAGGGTAAGAGAGGGAACAATGGTGCTTGCTCTGCTCTCTCTCAAATTTTAGTCCCCTCTGCCGCTTCCCACAAGCAAATTGGGCCCTTCTGGTTCTGGTTCCCGGGTGGGTGGGCTTGTGTACATTCTAGGTCCCAGTGGGTCTCTCCAGTGAATTCTCTTGTGAGACTGGGAGTCTTTCCTGGCACCTTTTCAATCGGTGCTTTTAGGCTTTATTTTTGTCATTGGGGTCCTTGGTTGCATGGTCTGTCTCACTGCCCATTTTTATCATGTTTATCTGAGCGCAAATGTGTGATCACAATCAGCCAATTGCCTTGCGTGCCTCACTGAGTCCTCCCCATGCCCAGGGTCTGCTAGCCACTGTCTTTTCCTGCTGCTACCGTTCTCCACTGGCTGCCGACTCTGCCCCCTTACCTGTCTGGATGAATAGTTGTTGGACTTCCGTACAGTTCAATTTTCTGTCTGTTCTGGTTGTGTTTGATTTCTAAATCTTTGTTGTCTTTAATTTTGGTTGTGTGAGGAGGCACAGTATTTCCACCTATGTCTCCATCTTGGTTGGAAGTCCCAAGTAGTATGTAAATTAATAGCCATACTTCTTGGCTTGTGACTTCATTAGGGAGCTGCTGTTAATGCACTGCTGTGTTTTATTATCAAACAAAATTTATAGGTACAGTCCTGTTCCACAGAGTGAAACAAACAAGGATTTCTCACACACTCTTCCAGATGGAGTAGAAGACTAAGTCTACATATAAACTTCTAAGAAATCACCTTTGGCATCTTATATGAAGCCCCATTTCCTTGGCTTCTAGAAGTGATTTTGTTAAAAACAATCCCAGATGAAAATAAAAAGGAATCATTGGTATTTTCCCAATACGTTCAGTTATTTAATACTATCTTAGCAGGAGAGTTTGTGGTGTTTTATGAGTTCTAGATGGCTCAGTTACCTGCAGAGTATACTCACTATCAATCATAGAAAGAATAATTAATGTATATGTTTTTGGTCCTTCTAGAAATATTATGAGGAATAATTTTAAAATCTTTCCATTTTAATATGATCACTAGAAAATTAATATATTCATAATATTTCTCCCAAATGACTTTAAGAAATGTAAACAGAGTAATATAGTATAGTGGACAAATGCAGAGCATTTTGGAATGTCTTCTGAACGTTCCTAATTTGGTGACTTTGCTATACAAGTCCTATCTCCCTAGTCATGAATCAGACATTTGCTTTGCCTGCCCTTGTAGCATGTGACCTAGGCTTTACAAACCAGACACAGCCATGTCAGCCTTTGTTCAGCAGAGAAGCATGAAGACATCAAATTTTCAGGAACAGCAGTAACAGAAATTCTGGAACCCAGAGCCCAGCATTATGGTGTGAATTATGAAGTCCTTGCTTAGGGGCAGTAGCTACTGGGGTCTTTTTTGGAATAGTCATGTGGCAGGGGCTGGGTGTGATCTTGGCTATAACTTCCAAGCATGACATTCTGAGTCTCCCTGAGATTCTATGAACCAGTTAATTTCCTGAAATAAATTATTTTCCCCTGCAACTACCTAGAGAGAGTTCTGTTTTTTACAACTAAGATAAAAATATATCTTTATAACATTTAGCTACAGTAAAAATAAACATGTAATCCAGAGGAAAGAATGGCACATTCTACAACAGCGATGAACCATGAAAACTTATGCTATGTGAAATAAACCAGTTACAGAGAGGCCAATACTATACAATTATACTTATGTGAGGTACCTAAAATGATCAAATTAGTGGACTCAAAGAATTGTCAGGGTTGGGGGGAGGGGCAAATGGGGAGTTACCAATGAAGGGGCAGTGGAGATGAATAAGCTCTACAGGTCTGCTCTATGATGTTGTACCTGCAGTCAATAATTACATACTGTACACTTAAAAGTTATTAAGAGGATAGATATCATGTTAAGTATTCTTTCCAAAATAAAATAAAATAAAATAAAATTAATTGACTCATACATTTCCTAAAGATATGTCTAATTTTAAAAACATATTGGAGAATTTAAAAATCTTGATAGCAACTTGAACATACCATCTTTATCAGCGGTATCTTGAGGCCTGGATTTCAATGTGAAGATCTTCCGTAGCTTACAGTTAGCTGAAACAACAATTCCGTCCAATGACTGGAAAACTGCTCCCTTAAATATTTCACTGGTAAATGCTACCATGTCAATGCATAGGTTGCACCACTAAAATAAAGACAAGGAAAAAATGAATGAGTATTTTCTATAATCACACAAAAGGACAAGCTGTCTGTGTGTGGAAAGTCCAGAGAGTTGAGTCAATTATCTGAATCAGCCAGTCCCATACAGATTTTCCCTTTTAGGCAAATATGTCTCATTTTGGTTTCAATTTTTTAAAGAACTGCCTTGATCCTTCCAAAGAAATCATCATAATCTAAAGCATACAGTGGTCATCTGACTACAGAGTTCCCATCATGAGACAAGGCTTTGACAACTTTGGGAAAAACTCTAGATCTGTAGGCACACTGCTAGTCGGAAGCTAACTGAAGGTGCATTAGACCCCTGAAATCTTGAAAATCAGAGGTAAGTAGCCAATTGTTCCTTCAAGGGGACTAATTTGATCCCAATTAGCCACTTACATTTGTTAAAAAAAAAGAATGGATGAAATTAGAAGCTGGATTTAAATTGTGGCCAGTGCTGTCTACTTATAATCAATTAATGGGTTGCATAGAAGTAGATTTTTCTAAAGAATTTGTGATTATGCCTGATATTTGCCAATTTTTAAAGTACCCTTTCAGGGACTAATTTCCGACCATTAAACAATCAGATCCCTCAATACTTTATCAAATAAATTCTTTTAATGGTCTGAGTTAAAGGAAAGGAGAAAAGAATCATTTAGTAATAAATTAAAACATATTTAAGACTGCAGAAAAAAGCAGGAAAATAATTTTTGAAATTAAAAGAAAAATAGTATTTAAAATTGTGCTTTTAAAAAAATACCAGCCTCTTCCATTATTTGTTTAGAAGCACAATTTACACAGGTCCATTTTATTAATCCATGACATTGAAAGCTATATTCATTAATAAAGAAAATAAAATGTCATTTTTAAAGTCAACTCTATTTAGAAATCATTTTAATATGGAGGAAAAGCTTAAGTTGTTTCCACAGCAGAAAAGTAAGAAATTGCAGTACATTATTGATTAAGTACATGAAGATTATTTTCTTTGTAGATATCTCAACAGAACAATTATATTCCCAGGCCATGGAGATGCTCTGGGCTTTTTGGGAAAAGGTGTCTGGAGTAATAAAAGGTAGGAAGTAGGACTGAGTGTGATATAATAATGAGACTGGCTTGACCAGTAAGATGGTGAGCTCTGTGGAGGTGTAGGAAGTAACATGGGATGGGCCAGTAAGGCCTGGTTCTGGAGGAGATGGGAGATGGGGAAGAGAACCTTGGGCTCCAGAAGGTAAAGTGGAACTGTGGTTCTTAAAGGAGAATGTAACAAAATAAGTATATTGGGAAATTTGGACTAATCCTGATACAGAACTGTTTTGGGATGGTAGAGGGGGTCTGTGAGGGAAGGGTGAGGTGCAGTGGAGAGAGACTGAGGTACAGAAAGACTAGTCTCTCGTCAGTCATTTAAGCATAAAGTGAGGAGGGTCTGTCTGGTTAGAAGGCCAGCATAGCAAGTGGAGTGTAAGGTACAAATCCTCTAGGCATGGCATAGGGCAAAACACCATAATTTGGTAAAATCCAGGTTATAAGGAATGGAGGTCTTGGGGTTTCCAGCTATACAATAATAATTATTAACATTATCACTACAATAGGAAATTACTATTGTTATAAATGTTGTTCTTATTCCTAAAAGACTTAATTAACATTATGCCCCAATTCCAATCACTCAGTAATTGCATTCATCCACCACAGGTGCTAAGTAAGCATTTATCAGGTGTTAGACACTGGTCTTGGCTCCAGGAATACAGCAAGGAGTAAGGCAGTCCTTCTAGTCTGGGGAGGGAGGCAGACATTTGGAATCTATTACATATAGTTAGTATGGAGAGGGCTCAAGCTAAGAGGGTGGAGAGATTCAGAGAAGCTTTCTTTGAAAAAAAATTTAAAAATTATATCATGATATTATATGCCTATATAAGCATACAATTTTATACAAGGATTTTATACAAAATGAAGTCCTGGTCATCTCTACATTCCTCTAATCAATTGTTAACTCTTAACTTCTTCTCTCTATATTTTTAAGTAATACTTCTTCATTTGTCAATTTTAAACATCTACTGACTTCCTATTATGGTAGATAAGACTTAACTTATTACTTACACATACTACTTCCCCAACTTCATCCCCCTAAAAAATATCTCATTCTTTCTTTTTTCCTCAAAAAATCCACTTTATGACTCTGACTGCTGTGGCTCAGTTGGTTGGGCATCATCTTGCAAAGCAAAAAGTCACCGGTTTGATTCTTGGTCAGGTCACAGAGTTTGGTCAGGTGTGGGAGTGTACAGAGACAGCCGATGGATGTTTCTCTCTCATATCAATGTTTGGCTCCCTGTCTTTCTCCCTCCCTTACCCTCTCTCTAAAAATAAAATATATAGTTTTAAAAAACCAATTTTCCGTGTTTTCCTTGTGACTATGTAAATATTACATACAACCAAGCCAAGTGATGCTCTGTGATTACCTTTCTTTCCTGATACATTTTTTTTGCATTTCCAGTTAATAACTGTTATTTTAATTATTTGCTTTATTTTCTTTGAATCTAAGTCTTCCTACATCTAGGAAATGCTTGTAGGTAACTTTTGGGTTTGGTTGTGAACAATGATTGTCATGCAGACACGCTAGGATTTTTTTTTCCTCAGGGCCCTTCCCCTTTATACCCTGCTTTGATGAACTCTCCAGTTGGCTGCACCTGAACACCCCCACCAGCTCTGATGGGGAATTGGTGTCCACCTTCTTGTGAGTCCAATAAAACCAGGCCTTTATCTGATACACACTCTTCTTACCCATCACAGTATTGCTGCTTTTATTCCCTCTACCTGGACTCATGGTTTGTAAAAATTACTCAACCAATAATGGTATGCATATGTGTGTCTGTGCTCGTTTGTTAATATATGAAGACATGCATGATTACATACATGCCTATACACACTTTCAATCTTTTATTTTATGAAAGTCACTCAACAAGCTCCATAAATGTGTGAGAAATAATCCATATTTAGTGAATCTATTTCTTAGAAGTACAGATTGGAGTAGTTCCTGAAAAAGTGGGAATAACTTTCACAGATCTCCCTTGGCTAGAAGGAGGAAACAAAAATTATTTTTTCATTTAGTTGATATTTATAAAGGTTCTACATTTCATAAGCTCCAACAAATAATTCATTATTTATACAAATGTTGTGATATATTTTCTGAAGTTTTGTAAAGAGTATAAACTTTCTACTATCAACAGGTGGGTTATCAGAATTACAGTTAATCTTTTTTTAAAATTTTTATTTTTTTAAAATTTTTATTTAATTATTTTTCAAGTACATTTTTTTGTCTATTTCTCCCATCCCAGCCCCCCCACCCCGCCCCGTCTCCCCACCTCCCTCCCATTTCCCCCTCCCAGTCCTCATCCCTGTGTCTTTCATACTTGTTCCTCAAAATCCCTCCCCATTTTTCCCCTTAAATTCCCTTCCCTCTCCCCTCTGGTCACTGCCCACTTGTTCTCTATTTCAGTGTCTTTGTTTTTATTCTGTTTGCTTGTTTGTTTTATTGTTTAGCTTCCTGTCAAAGGTGAGATCATATGGTATTTGTCCTTCAATGCCTGGCCTATTTCACTCAGCATAATGCTTTCCAGTTCCATCCATGTTGTTGCAAAGGGTAGTAGCTCCTTCTTTCTCTCTGCTGCATAGAATTCCATTGTGTATATGTACCACAATTTTTTGATCCATTCATTTACTGATGGGCACCTAGGTTGCTTCCAACTCTTGGCTATTGTAAATTGTGCTGCTATGATGAACATTGTGGTGCATAGGTTCTTTGAAATTGATGTTTTAGGATTCTTGGGATATAATCCTAGCAGTGGAATTGCTGGGTCAAAAGGCAGGTCGATTTTTATTTTTCTGAGAAAATTCCTTGCTGTTTTCCATAATGGTTGTACATTTCCCAAAGATACAGCCTGCAATCCCACCAACAGTGAACTAAGGTCCCCTTTTCCCACACCCTCTCCAACGTTTGTTGTTTGTTGCTTTGTTTATTATAGCCATTCTGACTGGTATAAAGTGGTATCTCATTGTGGTTTTAATTTGCATCTCTCTGATAGCTAATGATATTGAGCATCTCTTCATATGTCTCTGGATATTCTGTATGACCTCTTTGGAGAAGTGTCTGTTCAAGTCCTTTTCCCATTTTTTAATTGGGTTAGATGTCTTCCTAGAGTGGAGTCGTGTAAGTTCTTTGTATATTTTGGAGATTAAACCTTTGTCTGAGGTATCATTGGCAAATATGTTTTCCCATACAGTTGGTTGTCTTTTTAATTTAATACCGTTTTCTTTAGCCATGCAGAAGCTTTTTATTTTGATGAGATCCCATTTGTTTATTCTTTCCTTTATATTCCTTGCTCTAGGGGACATATCGGTAAAAATGTTGCTGCGTGGAATATCTGAGATTTTCTTGCCAATGTTCTCCTCTAGGACTTTAATGGTGTCATGGCTTATATTTAAGTCTTTTATTCATCATCAGATACAGTTCATCTTTATAAAATATTATTTTCATTATTCTTGGTGATATCATCCATTCTTAAATATACCCTTTTTTGGACATTTTTCTTGCTCTGTAATCACTTTATTGTTACATGCAACTCAAGTACAGCATGGAAAAACTCTTAGTGTAAAATATTTATAATTATTGGTCCTTAAGAAGTTTGCAACAGAAAGATAGCAATGTGATAGAGAAAAGGTGGTTCTGTTTAGTTTGTTGCTTGGATTAATGAGAGGTTATATTACTTACTTCCAGGATGTAATTTTGCATGAAAAAATTGACTGGCACAGGGTAAATGAATTATTGAAAGCATAAATTTCTAGTTCATACTGACTCATATTTTGGTAATGTGGCTTTGTTATACCAATGAAAGGACAGCATATTCTGTGAACACACACACACACATGCTTGCACTCATACACTCACACACACACTCAGATGAACGTTCTTCGTTGTCCCAGCACTCTTTTCCG